TGAGCCACTCAGTCATCACACCTTACTTCTACAGCACCCCATCCGCTAGACCCAACACATTAAGGCCTAAAGTTCCAGGGAGAGTGAGTATCCCCAGTATAAAGGGTCTCAGCAAGCTCCCCATTAAAACTCCCTCAGCACAGTACCCAGCTTCCTGGACCTGCTGAACTTTCACCCCTGCCTCATCATCACCACACCCTGCTTCATTCTCCCCTGAGCTCCAGCCCTGATCTCCTCAGAGGGTCCACGAATCTCTGACAACTCTTTCCAAGTCTAAGATTTCAGCAATCAACTCAGACAGGGACCCAGGAGCCTGGCTGCCTACCCTGCCTGGCCCTGCTCCTCCAAACCTTCTTCACAGCCCCTCTGCCCAAGGGCAGACACTCCACACTCTGACATCATGAGACCGCTTAGCAGCACATACCCAGATATCACTGGATGAATTCTCCCATCCACATCCTCTCCCTTACATTCTGCTATCTCCCAGCGATGGCATCTCCCTCTGTGCCAGGTGTCTAGTGAATTCTTGGCCACCAGTAACCCTGGTGCTATTCATCATCACATTCCTTTGAGACACCATTTATCCCAGCCTCTTCAGGCCTCAGGACAAAGTCCGAGAAAATTACCAAGGGAAAAATCATTCCAACTGTCCTTTTTGCCAAAGCACCAGCCCTGGGACTACCTGGCCAGTTAAAAGTAATGTGAAGGATGAGTTGGAACCCAGTTCAGACAACTGTTTGAAAGCATGTGGACAGGTTCTTTCTTTTTCTAATCCAATAGTGATGAAAAAAAAAAAAAAAAAACTGTGGGGCAGGGGATGTTAGGTAGAGAAGTGTCTACTATGTGTACCTTTCAGTTGCTCCATTCCCTTAAACAGCTTTCAAAAGACCCAGCACCTAGTACAGTGTCTGGCATATTGTAGGTGCCCAATAATTGTTTGCTGGAGGTTAAACAAAGTTCTGAGTGCCAGTTCTAACAACCCTGGAAAGGACTGAGAGAAGTCCTTGCAACCTGGCTCCTGGAGGGGCCCTTTAAGCTCACATCAGGGGGAGATCTCCATGCCAAGCAGGGCCTCCTCCTTAGCTACCTGCTCCCCATAGAGCATCAGAACAGTAGACCCAACTCTCCTACCTCTCTGACACCACCAGCACACTTCTCCTCAAAGGTGACATCAGTGCCTAGTGGCACTTTTCCTGGATCCCTCCTCCCTCTCAAAGAAAACCACCCACACCACATTTCCAAGTCCTCCAACCCCGACCTTTCTCTTCCCACCCACCACCAAACCCAGCAGGATCCGTATGGGAAAACATCCCTACTGCACAGCTGAAAGTAAGCTCCCCACTCCGACCCTTCTCGTTCAGAAATCTCAGTGCCAGCTCCTTTTCCCTGTTGCACCCACCCCCACTCCCACCAGGCCTGGGGTTGGCCACTCCTTCCACCCCACCGCCCTAGCACTGCAGAGATGGGGTACTGGCAGCACCCGAGACTGGCAGTTTGTGGAATGGTGAGCTAGCGATAGCAAATAGGGACTGTTATGAGAAACGCAGGAAGGATTAAGACCCTCGGGAAACGCTAAGACCTTAGTCCCTAGCATGCCCGAAAGAGTGGAGCTGGGCCAGGAGCTGGAAGGCGCTTTTCTCTGATTCTCCTGGAAGGGAAATGGGGGCGCAGTCCACCTAGTTCCTATCGGGAGACTCGCCAACTCAACCCCCCTTCCTCGAAGCTGATGGAGCTGCAGGCAAACTACACGCCCTCCCCATAAATCTGCCACCGCCCCCCATTCTCACATCCAAGGGCACTGCAACACCGGTGAGAGACGGCGGAGCGAGCAGTATCGAAGCACAGAGAGATGACACATCGGAGAAAAAGGGAGCTGTTTCCTAAGGCGCTCTAGGCAAGGGACCCCAATACAAACGGGGGTTGGGGGAGTGAGGCTGGAGGTGGAAAAAAGAGGCATCCTCTCCCCCAAACCCAGGTTCTCTGGGCGCTCACCTGCTTGTAATCACCGAAGGCTGGGCGGCGCAGCTCAGAGGTAGCAGGGAGCCGCCCCCGACCGGGGAATCCGGACACGTCCGAGGGAGCGGAGCCGTCGCCGAGCTATCTGCAGCCTCCGTGGCCAAAGCGCCCAGCCCCAAAGCCCCGCCCCCTTGGATATGCCATGGCCCCGCCCTCTCCAGGCCACGCCTCCTGCCCCTGGCTCGTCCCGGCCGTGGCACGTGATGAGATCTACTTTGATGTGGCGCGCCATTTTGGTAAGCCCTTGAACGAGGTCTTGAGCCTACCTGCTAGGGTGGAAAAAGGGGGGAGGCGGCGAGACAGCAACAGGAACCCAGGGCCCTGTATCCTTCCCGGTGAGGACGCCTAGGGCGTGGCATACAGCCAGTCCCTCCTTGAGAAGTCACCCCAGTTCCTAACTGGTTCCCTAGGTTGGCTTTGACCCTGGCCTTGTAATTGTTGTCAATGGTTTGTCACCTTTCACAACTACTCTCTTGCGTACTTTTTACTTTCCCTTTGGTCGCACCCATTTTTTAAGTGAAGAAACTTGAAACCAGATAAATTTGTGTACTGTGCACTTCAGTGAATTGTGTTGCTTGCCTTTAGGCACCTAGCTGTTTCAACACTGTTACTATAAAATGAAATGTCTATTATATACACATAGTAAAGACAGTCTCAAATGCCAAAATTCCTGGCTGACATATTTTAGCTAAAACTCTCAATTTTCCTGAATAATCCTTACGTTGTCCCCTGTGGCTATTAATGCATCTTTCACATCTGGTTTGTGAAAATTCATCACAGTGCTTACTCAAATCTTTTAAGAATATTCAGTAAGCACTGCCAGAAGTGTGAAGAATTTTTATATGCATGCACTGTGTACATATACATGTATTTATACACATATCCACATTTTCTATCAGCAGTGAATGCTGTTGTTGAGATTAGTGACACATCGAACCTTGGTTTCATTTATATATATATATATTTTTTTTTCTTTCCACAAAAAGATTCACCATTTGGAATTTCCCTGCATCTCTGGAAGGAGGCAGGGAAGTCTGAGTAATTCTGATTCATTTGGGGGGTGAGAACTGAAGCTAAATTTGTTTTGTTTTACTTGTCTCTCAAAGCAAAATCACTATATAACTAAGTGAAAATTACACAGCAGTTTTTAACCTATAGTCTGGAAACTCTTCCCCAGGTGGTATATAGTTCTCATCAAAAGGAAATCCCTAAGACGTTTCATGTCCTTTTACTAAATAAGCATGAATCATCCTCAACAGAATGATCCATCAATAGGAAGGCATTAGCATTTCTGCAGGTTCACATGGCCAGCCTCCTGTGGGCACATAAGAGGGTAGCAGAGGCAGCACAGTGCAAAAGGAAGGACAGGCCCTAAACGGACAGTCTTGAAAAGGCAGTGCAGCCAATGCAGAGGGAGGACTGAAGCCATGAAAACCATCATTGAGAAGTCACTTCACAAGTGTGGTCAATATAATACTAAGAGGACAGCTGAGGCAACATCTAATATTTTATCTATTGTCTTAGCATAGAGTTTGACACAAAAACCCACAAGTTGAATCAGAACACAATCATTAAGTCAAATTTATTTCACTCCCTTTTTAAAGGTAACTCCTAAATGGGGCACACATAAACCACTGGGACAATTCCTTCCTGTTTCATGGCATCTATAGTTCAGGTAACTAGGGAGGGACTCTGCTTTTCTCCTCCTGGCTCAAAGAGGCAATTTTTGATTGTAGAAACATGCCAGGTGGTTACTGTTCTTGGTTTTTTTGTTTGTTTGTTTTTATCATTTAAATGCCCGAATGCTGTTTTTCACTGACCAAGGCTCACTTTCTGTGTGAACAGCTTTATTACCACCCTCAACATGGGGAAAGGCTAGCTATAGCTGGTGACTAGCAGCAGTATTAAGCAGATGCTTCCTAAGAATATTCTTTAAATAGCTAGGGGTGGAGAGAATGGTAAGGAAAAACAACATCCTAATTTGGCAGTTTGGCTCATGCTAACAACTACCCCCACTAGAATACCAACTTAATGCCCAGCTAACTGGGGGCGGGGCACACAGGCAAGCAGCAAGGTTATCTTTTTTTTTAGCAGAAAAAATAAAAACCACCCCGACCAGCTTCTCAGAATTCACAACCTACAGTAAGTTCTTTGACCAACAGGATGACGTTAGCATTTCTGCAGGTTCACGTGGCCAGGCTCCTGTGGCCACATAAGATGGTAGCAGAGGCAGCATAGTGCAGAAGGAAGGGCAGTGCTCAGGAGGCTGGTTTCCACATGAAGATGTATTTTTTTTTTAAATGATCTTTCAGCCTAATAAATGACTTTCTAACAATTTAATTTGGAAGGAAGGCTGGGCAATCTACTTCCTTAGTGATACTGCCTCGGAAACCCAAGGAGGGGTCGATTGAGTTGGGTCTGACTCTATGGCACATAACAACAACAATTTAATGAAAACATTACTACCCTTCCTGGAGTAACTTTCTTGGTTTGTTTTACATTTTAATTAAAAAGAAACACGTATTTAAAAGATGCCCTCATTGATCTTATATATACACCTCTTAGGCTGATTAGGGTTAAGATATACCAACATTTTCACTCACCATCTGACTTTTTTTTTTAATCTACGCACACTCTGTCTCCTCCCTTTTACCACTATCTGACACAAGGGAGACTGACAGTAAAAAGAACAGACCTGAGTCAGAATCCTCACTTGGCCATTTACTGGCTATGTAGCCTTGGGTAAGTGACTGATTCCGTTTCCTCACCTGTAAAATAGGAATGGTATCACCTACCTTTTGGGTTGTAAGGATTAGAGATATTATGTAAAGTTCCTTGCACAGTACCAAGGGCTCAAAGTCACTATCATCACCACTATCAACCTCATGAAAAAAATATCTAAAATCCAAAATAGTTAAAAGAATATATACACATAAATATCCAAAAATTATTTAAACAAAAAAAAGACACAGAAGTCAATTTTATAAGATTCTGAAAACCCTATCATCTACTTTATTTCTGGAGAAGGGTATAGGATGAATCACTTAGATTTGAGGGGCAGCTAAATTGGAAGCAGCAGTAGGAACAATTTTAGACTTCTATGGTTCCCCTGATCCTTAAGGGAATGCTGAAACTTCCTTGTTTGGAAAGTCAAGACTTTTTCCCTAGAACAAGACCATCCATTTTCAATAGGATAAAATAAAGAAAAACAAACTCAATAGCACCAAATGGGGTTTTAACACAGAAAACAGAGCCAGGTTTCTCCTTTCAAATGCAAATGTTTACATGAAAATATGTTTATAAATCATAGTTGGTTTCCTCTTCATTCAACCCCTCTCCCTCCCCTAACAGAAGCCCCTGGAACCCGAAGATCATGTACATTCCTAACCAGATGCACAACCCAGCTGCCAAACCAGGATGTGATTACGAATGGACTGGCCTAGCTCAGGACAGTCCCCAGGGATGGCAAATAATAACTACGCTCTCAGGGAGAACGGATACTGAGGGTGCCACCAATCAAAGAGCCGAACGCTGTGCACTGGGTCAAGGATGACTTGCACACCCTGTTCGCTGCGTAGTTTCCGACCACTGTGGATAGGAGAATCCTGGAACACCAGTCTCACTCGATGGTGCCGCATGTCCGTGCTCACATTGATAGTAAACTGAGAGGGAAAAGCAAATTAAACCACCTTGGTTTCCTTTGGTCACTCTGAAATGAGATGTTCTAGACATAATTAATACTAGCTAGGCAACAAAATTAATCTCTAGATTATAACACTTGTGAAAATATTTAAAAATTTAAGGGTAATTTTTGTAAGTTCCCAACTTCATATATTTAAACTAAAGAAAACCCCGTAACAAGCTGAATAAATTGGGATATATCCATACAGACTACCATTAAAGGCAATTTTTAAAGAATGAGTTAGAGCTTTAAGAGATAACCTGAAGGGATTTTGACAAAATTATTATTGAGCAAGATGACAAGATGCGTGTAAGCATGTATATTCTGATCCCATTTTCTTGGAAAATAAACCATAAAATCCCTAAATATGCATGTAACTATATAGGTCTGTATAGGATTATGAGGAAGGAAGCTCTGGTGGCTTAGTGCCTAAGGCATTTATTTGACTGCTGGCACTTCAAACTCACCAGCCACTCTTCAGAAGGATGATTGGGTAATCTACTTCGTAGAGATACTGCCTCGGAACCCCAAGAAGGGGTTACTATGAGTTGAATCGACTTGATGGCAGTGAGTTTTTGGGTTTTTTTTTAATACGATTATGAGTATGGAGTGCAAGGAACATAAGTTTATATAACTTGGTTGTTAATATGGCTTAACCTGGTAGGAGGAGAGGTGTCTACAATAAAAACAGCATGTATGACATCATCCTAATTATACAAAATTACGTAAGATAATAACACATATTAATAGATATATTAAAGAATGGTTCCAAAAGGTTAACTGCAGTTACAGGGTAGTGGAGGTCTAAGTCACCTTTACTTTCTTAGTATCTTTATGTATTATTTAAATTCTTAGAAGAACCATGCATTATTTTTATTTTACCAGGAAAAAAAGAGGTTTTTTTTATTATGGAGAGACTACCTTGTATAAATCTAAACATAAACCTAACAGAGAGAGAAGACATGAACTTGCCAATTGCCAATCCAATTAAAATGTTTAAAAATCTGGAAAATTATGCCAGAGGTATATACATTGTTTACTAATCTTATTCTTAGGTAAGCCTTGAATAGTGAGAGCATCACACAAAGGACAGAGATGGCCACCCCATGTATCAATGTTCCATTTACATGAATGGCATGCCCCATGTGCACGCCCCAAGGTCCTGACATACAATGCTCACGTATAAGCCTTGTCATTACCCGACAGGATAATGTTTCAGGTTCATTTAATGAACAAAACTCACTGCCGTCAAGTGGATTCAACTCATAGTGACCCCTCCTTGATTTCCCAGATGGTATCCCTACAGAAGTAGATTGCCCTATTATGGTGTAGTAAATTACTTAGTGTGGCTTTTCTACCCATAAGTCTTTGTAAACTCCAAGGTGGGAATTGCTATTAGCAACTGAGGAGATCTTGATTGCCCACCTGGAGTATTTCTGTTGGGAGTGGCACAAAACAATGTTCTGGGAGGTACCCACTCTCTCTCAGTTGCTTGCTATGATTGGCTAGTTTGGCCACTCTGCCAGGCTCAAAAGGAGGCCTCCTAGAGGCAGAACTCTCTGACTGCTGGTTGAGGAAGACGTATTGCTGAAAGAGACACGCGCTCCTGAGACACGCGTTGCTGGGAAAGAAATGCAAGAGACATGCATTGCTGAGTGAGACACCGAGGGACCACCACTGCTGGGAAAGAGATTGTGAGAGACTGTTGGCTGAGGAACGGTGGGCTGGGAGAGAGACTGATCATTTTTCCTGATTTTGAATTGTAGCCTGTGGTGCTTCCCTAATAAACCCCATAATCTGTGAGCTCTGTGTGACCACTGCAGCGAATTATTGAACCCAGGAGAGAGGTGGTGGGTGTTTTGGGAGGAATGGTTGGTGAAAGGGCTGGAGGGAGGCAGCATGTCTGGCCTTGTAGTAATAGGCCTTGCGCTATCGATGGTGATTCTGCCTTCCTCTTGTGGGGTTAGAGGAGGTCGGAAGATGTGGCCTCCTTGCCGTTTTTGCACCTATCTTCCTTCTGAGGAGTGGCGAGTGGGTTTAAAGCACCAGCCTTCTGGTTAGCAGTCAAATGCCGTAAGAACCTTGCCACCAGAGCTCCTATTTAATGATCACTACACATGAAATTGCAAAAACATTCTCCTTTAGAAAACACATTGCTATAGAGAAGAAAACAGAAGTAAAATATTCTCAGTATAACTAACTTCTGTACAAATCTACCTATTCAAAATATACTAATCTGGTATCAGACTTCATTATTTTTCAAAGATTTGGTTAAAATCTTTTTAATGGATGGTTAAACTTACAAATCTCTTCAAACCCTGGTGGTGCAGTGGTTAAGCTCTCAGCTGCCAACCAGAAGGTCAGCAGTTGGAACCCATTGGTCGGCTCCACGGGAGAAAGATGAAGCAGTCCATTTCCATAAAGATTACAGCCTTAGAAACCCTATGAGGACAGTTCTACTCTATCCTACAGGGACTGTAAGTCAGAATTGACTTGGTGGCAATGGTGTTTTTTTTTTAATGGGTATAAGAGCTAAGGAGGAGCTCTGGTAGCATAGTGGCTAAAGCAATTGACTGCTAACCAGAAGGCTGGCGGTTCAAACCCACCAGCCACTCCTCGGGAAGGAAGGTTGGGCAATCCTACTTCCGTAGTGATACTGCCTCGGAAACCCAAGGAGGGGTTGCTATGAGTCGGGGCCGACTCGACGGCACATAACAACAACAACAACAAGAGCTAAGGATGAAATCCTGAATCCCCACTTACCAGGGTAAATATCATTCCCATGACAATTGGAATAAAGATGAAATTGAGGGTGGTGACTTGCAGTAGGCAGCAGTCCTGGTCTGGGTTGGTATGAACATCTTCATATTGAATGGGTGGCTGCAAGCCTCCCAAACACTTGCTCTTTAACCTAGGGGGCTGAAGAGAACTGAGAATTAATCTAACGGCTTAAGGGCAATTTTTACGGCCCTAAGATTCCACCAATGAAAATCCTCAACTAGCTAGGGAGATTCACTTTTCTATTGCCTCCTATCTCTTTATATACTCTCGGTTTCTGTAGAAATAAAAAACCTGCCCTTTTAAAGGGGAAACACATTTGGAATAGCAACTATTGTGAGATTCATAAACAGAAAAGTTTGTTTTTACTTTAAAGGGCAGTTATATCCAACTTTCAATCACTGGGGCACTATAATGAGGGATAGGAATTGCATTAATTGAAAACCACAGATGTTAGTTCAAAGATGTACTCTTTTCTCCAACCAGAACTAGACTTAAGTAAAATTTCATTTTAATAAATACTATTTTAATGCAGTTTGAATAACTGCAAAGCTATTTCCACATCCTGATCCATGGCCATTTTTGTACTTCTATCAAAGCGAGTAAACTTTAAAAATAGCTTCCATTATACTAAGATTAGCCCTTGCAAATCCATGGCAGTGGATTTATACTTCATCGAGATGGCATTCCTTGCCACCCAACAAGAAATGGAAACTTATAGCCTCTTTCAGATGCTCTCAAATGTCTGAAAGATTGCAAATTCCTTGCTACTTGTCAGACTCCAAAGAACATCTGCTGCACAAGTCTGCAAGCAAAAGCAGCCACTTTAATTCCAGGCACCGTAAAACAAAGGAGTCAGAAGCCTCAATTCAGCATTCACTTTCACACAGTCATTCCTGGTTTCTCCTTATAGTCACATTTCACCATTTAAGGCTGTTCCTCAGTCTCTTCCCAGAAATGTCCTACCATAAATTTTCTACCAACATCTGATGGGTGCTACAGATTATGGGCATCTTATTAAAAGCCAATTCACAGACAAGAAAGTCTTCCCCAGGACCATGCTTTTTTAAATAAATCAACAGGAAAGTAGGATATACTTTAATTACAAGACTATTTGTAATTCAAGGAGCTCTGGTGGTACAGTGCCTAAGGCATTTGACTGCTAACCAGAAGGCTGGTAGTTCAAGCCCACCACCCACTCCACAGAAGGAAGACTGGGCAATCTACTTCCATAAAGATTTACTGCCTCAGAAACCCAAAGGGGGTTGCTATGAGTAGCAATCGACTCAATGACAGGGGGTTTGGTTTGGTTTGGTTTTGGGTATTTGTATTCACCCATTATTAAGGAGTAACTAACTGTATTTGTGTCTCATCTGTGAAATATTAAATAGAGGAGACAAGAAGTGGAAAAATGAGGCTGCTGAGGCTAAGCATTAATGACAAGCCAAACAGCTTCTCACTGTGGGTAAGCTCCTGGTACAGTCCCAGGCAAAGGCAGAGACAGAGATGGAAAAGTATTTACCCTTCTTATAAAACAACTTTGGGCAGTGCCTCTCCTCATGGTTTCCCCAAATCTCCTTAGATGTAAAACCATATAAATTATTGTTGTTTATAAATACATTTACTTTGAACAATAAAGTTTTTTAGGCAAATGATGTCAGTACATGTTATCTTTTTACCATTTTCCACTTTTCTGCACACACTTTGGGGGTTGTTAAACCATTTGAAAGGAGCTCTGGGGGCACAGTGGTTAAAGCATTCAGCTGCTGAACAAAAGGTGGGTGGTTGAACCCACCAGCTACTCTGCGGGAGAAAGGCGAGGCAGTCTGCTTCTATAAAGGTTTACAGCTTTGGAAACCCTGTATGGGGCAATTCTACTCTATCCTATAGGGCTGGAACTGACTGGACAGCAGTGGGTTTGGTTATAGTGGGTAAACCATTTGGAAGTAACACTGACACTCTACCCTGAATTAATTCAGCATTAATAAAGACATTTCAACATAAGCATATTGTTATCACACTTGAGAAAATTAATAATAATTTCATATCCTCTAACATCCACAGCATATTCAAATTCCCCTAATTGTCTCCAAAATGTTTTTTATAGCTTTGTTCTCCAATCCAGGATCCAGTCAAGGTTTACTTTTTGCATTAGGTTGTTCTGTTTTTGTAGTCTCTTTCAATATAAAACAGTTCCTCCTTCATTTCCTTTTCATGGCATTATTTTAAGTTTGTATGTATAATTTGATTTTAATAAGGCAAGTTTGATGTCTAGTGAAATTAGAACAAGATATTACCTGAAAAAGAAAAAGAAGATAATGTGTTTGTTTGGAAACAGTGATGCCTACCTAACAAAGAACACTGTAACAATGAGGTACAAATAAATTCTGGGATCCAGCCCTTAGTCATATATTCAAAGTGCTAAACCCTTAGAACACCCTCACCACCTATCCTTTGGAGAAGGAAGATTTCTGGGTTTTTCTTTTTTTTTCATCAATACAAGAGCTCCTTGGGCATCAGCTGTATCTAATGTTAGGGGGCAACTGTGGGAAGTTTAAGAATACCCACTATTCTTTCCCAACAATATGTTTAGGGAGATATGGCCTGTCTAAATATCACATCAATAATGCTGAGGGACTTAGCCCTATAGATACAAATCTATAAGGAATATTAAACCAGGTCAATGACAAGATTCTAAAGAAATGTGTTAGGGCCCTGATTCTACGTGGCTTGTGTTAAAATGAACCAACCATATTGGAGATGATTTGGTTAGCATTAAGAGGCAAGAGAAATTAAAGAAAACTGCCATCCACAGGATGGCATGCAGCCTATTAGAATCCTTAGAAAATCCTTGGCAATGAAACTTCACTAACCTTTATTTCTCTCATAGTAGATACTGCCATATCAGTGTACACTGAAACAGCATGTTAGGACCACATACCTGTTTTTTGAACTTGAAGTTGAATTCCCACATGGGTTCCTGTCTATTCCCAACAATCTTTCTGCACCAGAAAAGTAAACACTATAAGAAAATAAAAGCACAATAAACTAAAAATAAAGGAGAGAAGAAAAATGACAATGTACTATAAGGTAACACAAACAATCAGCAAAAACCTCTAAGCTTGACAGAACCAAAGTCAGCCACAGTCCCAATGATGAGATTATAGTCTGGCACAGATAGGACCCCCAACTTGATAATGGTGCAAATGAAAAGAGACAATCCCAAGGCTGTTTAATCAAAAGAAAAAAGAGCAAGATAAGTCCCTCAGAGACTATGGAGGTCAACACCTATTGTTCTCATCTTTAAAGATGGAAACACGGTGTCTGGAGACTGGGGCATTCTCTCTAATTCAGCAGACCAATCCCCTACATTAAAAAATAAGGGCAGCCAGTAGCCAGCAGCCAAGATGCTAACAAGGCTACAAGCCAGAGAGAAACAGCTGGCCCTGGAATAGAGGCAAGTTGCTCAGGACCTTCTGGGAGCAGACAGCAGTGTGGAAACTATACAGCTGGGCTGAATTCAGTCTAGAGTAAGCCCCTCAATTAAAGTCAGGCTACAGCTAAGGTTAAGCACAAGAAGTGAAGTACCTCCCAGGGGATAAGGGGTGGGTCGTCCGACGTGCCAGTAGTCCTGCCCTTCAGACATGCCCTGTACGTCCTGCTGTTCCAGCAAAAATAATGGACTTGGCTTTAAGGGGCAAACACTTCTGCTGCCATCACAACGGCTCCAGTGTCCCACATAAGCTATGCTACTGAAAGAGAGAGAGGGGGGATCAAATACGAAAAGCTGGAGTCCAGGAACATGGGACAACTTCCTTTAGGCATGCCAGCAACTCCTTGAATGCTATGCGGCTGTGGGTATACAAGTGGCAAGGCCATGCATGGGATACCTGCCACTGCAGGTCCCAATCCTCAGCAGAAGTTCTCTAATAAAAGGTACAAAGCAGCAACCAGGTGGCCTGGGCAGACTATTTGGATTGAGACTTTAGTATTCATTCCACCTTGGCTTTTTACAGTCTACTTTTAAAAATTAATATACAGTGATGAGAATATGAAGACATGAGTATTTTAGAATTTAGGCAGTAGCACTTGCATTGTGCACTGGAGCCGCTAGGATGTACAAGCATGAGTTTGCTCAATGCTGCTCTGCTCCCAGCAACTGACTAACACCTGGTATGGTTAATTTATGGGATGACTCTACCCTTATCATCAAACCAAAAACCAAACTCACTGCCATTGAGTTGACTCTGGCTCACAGCAAATCCCTTTGGTTTCTGAGGTGGTAAACCTTTACGGAAGTAGATTGCCCAGTCTTCCTTCTGCAGAGTGGCTGGGGGGTTTGAACTACCAATCTTCTGGTTAGCACTCAAATGCCTTAGACACTAAGCTACCAGAGCCCCTTACCCACCATTGTTACTCTGCTATTGTCAAAATGTTTTGGGGAGGAGGGAAACTATAAGTGTGAGATGATACACTGTCCACTCATATTACAAACAGAAGCAGCTGCTGGATGAAATTCTACTCGCCTAGCATTCTACTCCTGCCCTAAATCCACCAGCTAGCATGGTATTAAACTGAGCTCAGCAATGGCCCTGACCTCCTAAGTTTGCAACCCAGGGTGGGGTTGGGGAGTATGGGGGCTTGATAAACTCCTATACTTGAGTTATACCATTAATCTTGAAATCCACAATACCACTGTAATTAATATGTATCAGATAAAATATGATCACCCTAGAGCTACACTATACCCATTACTGTTAAGTTGATTCTGACTCATGGCAACCCCATGTGTTATAGAGTAAAACTGCTCCATAGGGTTTTCTTGATTGCAGTCTTTACAGCAACCTCACTAGAGGTTTCTTATGCAGTGCCACTGAGTGGATTCAAACTGCCAACCTTTGTATTAGTAGTCAAACTCAAACCATCTGCATCACCCAGGGACCAGAACTAAACTAGTGAGTGGAGAATAATCACCACACAACTTCCATTAGTATAAAAACAAAAGAACTAGAGACTAGGATATACTGTAGAACATCAGATTTTGGGTAAGAAAGGAATAATAAAAATTATCTCCAAACTCAAAAGATATAAAACTCAGACAGTGGTATTAACTGAATGAGAAAAAAGGCAAGCCATCAACGTGCATAAATAATCCTATCTGCTATACTACTATGACCTTGACAAAGGTAGATTTCACTAGAGATTTCATGGGGATGGACAAAAGGCTAATAGACCTATTCACAAATCAGAAGGATGACAGAAACTTGAATATAATGTATGAACATAAAATACTGGGGAAATACTGAAACACAAGAAATAGCTTGGATGGAACAAAACTCAAAATCATGAAAAAAAATGGGACCAAGTTAGCTGGTCTGATAGAGCCTGGTGGAACCCCTGAGACTATAGCCCCCAGACGCCATTCAGGTCTGGAACTGAACCCACTCCTGTGGCTTCCAGCCGAACAAAAGACAGGCACATGAGCCGAACATTTACATTAGGTAGACACACTTCTTGGAGAGATCAGTCATGGGAGAAGACAAGGGCTATGTATGCACAGGGAGACAGCTTAGGGGCCAAGAGTGCATGGGAGAGAAAGACACAGGGAAGAGGTAACTATGGGGAGAAAGTGGGAAGATAGCTGTTGCATTGTGGGAAATTGCAGTCAATGTCATGAGACAAAGTATATGTGAACTGCTGAATGGAAAATGAATTTGCTCTGTAAACTTTTATCCAAATCACAGTAAAAAATTTTTAAAAATAAGTGACTTTAAAAAGAAAAAAAATAGCTTAGAACACAAGAATTTTAGAGCTCTAAGGAAGATGAGGCAATCTACGTCTGTAGTGATGCTGCCTTGGAAACCCAAGGAGGGGTCACTATGAGTCAGGTCCAACTCGACGGCACATAACAACAACAACAAGGTTTGTAAGAGCTCTGGTGGTACAGTGGCTAAAGCACTTGGCTGCTAACCTAAAGGTAATGCAGAGAAAGATGAAGTAATCTGTTTCCATAAAGATTTATAGTCTTAGAAACCCTATATGGCAGCTCTACTCTGTCCTATAGAGTCACTATGAGTCGAAATTAACTCAATGGTAGATGGTAGTGGGTTGAGTTTAAAGTCTGTAAGGAGGAGTAACTTAGTCTCTGAGAAGACCTACCATAGAACCTAATAACAGTGGGCACTTAGCAAATGCTGAAGGGGTAAAATGTACACCAGGACTCTTTAAGGAGATCAACATAGGATCCCAGATGTCAAGGTCACATGAGAAAGAGAAAATAAGTGAGTTATTCATGTTATATCTTTGTATTATGATTTTAAAATTGGAGTTTACGTCTACCATTTAAGTTGTGCTCTTTCTAGCCCAATGATTTTAAAACCATTCTATCTACAATGGTCCAATGTACAATGCATGAAAATGAATAAAAATAAAGAGAGTATACTAACAGCATAGGAAAGCTCTCAGGTTAAGGTAACATAAGCCAGCCCAGTACAGCGAGAATGTCTTGGAGAAGTGAAGCCTCTGAGCCCTTACAGGTTCATTAGTCCCCTGGCAGCCTCTGACCTACAGCTCTCTGCATCAAGGAAGCTGCAGAACAAGCCATGAAAACACATCCACCATACAAGAGTACATTAGTAAAACCCCAACTCTAATTCTCACTTACTTTTGAATTCTTTAGTGTGCTGGGAGTACTTTCTGGAATGGCTGGATTCTTGGAAATTCGAGCAGCAAATGGCTCATACATATGGTACAGAGATCGGATCACACACGCCCGGAGACAGCGCAGCTTCTCCATTGACTCTGGTCGCAGGCGCAAAGGCAGAGAGGCATCCAGCGTGTAGTGCCTGAAACATGACATATTACCCCTACCAATATGTGACCTGTCCCTCCTGTTCCTTATCGGTCTCTGTATGAACTAGTCCTTTGGCCAGTACTCAGTGTCTCCAATGCTTACACACACAAAAATCACCATCTCTTAACATCTCAGCTGTTTTTGCTGCTTCTTCATTATGTAAAACCCAATTTACATATACCTTATAATCTTCCATTTCTCCATCCATTTTGAAATTTTAAATCCTATTTCACTCTACAGAAGAGTAAGTCTCGAATTGATAACAGTACAATATACTTCAATTGCTCAAAAAGAACCTGTTCCAGGAAAGACCCACCAGGCTCTCCTGTCAGATGTCTCATCAAGTTCTCTACTCTCTGCTATCTGAACTTTCCTTCCCATCACATCCTTACTGACAGTTTACAATCTTCCCTAGGTTTCTGCACTCAGTATCAAAAGCTAGCACCCTTAATTACACAACTTACTCTCTCCTCTCCATTGCAACTATACAAGTGGCAGCATAAGTACAAAAACTATATAATATTTCCAAGTTGACTAGAAAATCTAAACAACTAATTCAGTTGGAATGATTCTGGCTAAGGTAAATCTCTGAAGAAAAATCAAAGAACACTCTTTTTGGGACCTGAAGGCCACAACATTTTGCTGAAAGTGTACACTGGGAATGGGGTGAGGCCACAGTCATAGGGAAAACAATTACCTGGATGAATTAATAATATCAAATTTAAATTAGACAGGGGCTCAAGGAATCCAACATTAGGCTCATGCCCAGGCAAAGAGCAGAGAAAGTGAAAAGAGGTCACCATCCAAGGAGCAGCTTCAAATCACAAACAGCAATGAAATCAGCTACACAGATAACTTAGTGAGCTCTCTGTGGTCGCACCTTCGGTACAACCTTGTCCAAAAGGCTGCAGTGCAAGTGACAGTCCAGGCATTCTTACAAATCAGGGAAAAATTCACAATGTCCTCAGGACGGATGTAGGAGGCCAGCAAGAGCCAAATATCCATAGGATACTCTTCTCCTCCAGCCCTGTCCAGGTCTTCTGAAATAGAAAAAAGAACCATAACCTTTGACTATTTACTATACGTATATGAATCATTTCAGTTCTCCCAGGGGTTGTACAATAAAGAAACAAGGTTTTAAATAGATCTAACAAAGTCCCTCAAACTTATTATTTTCTGCTTATTCAAGCTACTGGAAACTTTGCCTCTGCTGTGCAAGTGGATAGGTATATTTCTTAAATTTAAGGTCTTTATTTAACACCTATTCACACCTTATTTCAAAGTTTTCAAAGTATCATTATACACTGTATCATTCAACTCCAATAATTTTGCAAGGGGAATAAGGAAAATACTATTGTGCTCATTTTACAAATGAAAAAAACAGAACCTTGTCAAGGTAAATCGAATCTGAGTTTTCTGACTCCAAATTCCAGCTCTCCACTATAAACCCCGTCCTTGATTTCCCTTGCAGTCCCCATCCACCATTTTTTCAGTTCAGCCATTTAAAAACAAAACTGATTTTAGGATGGTAAAGGAAATCTAAACGTACAAATTAACTAAAAAACAAGGGAAGTTACAGTAATTCTCATTACTCAATAACTAACTGCCTACAAACATGTTTCTTTTCTTCTCCTTCCTCAGGTCATTGCCAATTTGACCTACGACATTCAGTCACTCCTTGACAATGTATCTCTACCTACTTCTCCTTCAGGTATTATTAGTATCAATAAACTATACATCTTGACCCTGAGGTCTACTATCCATCTCAGGTTCAGATAAAACTCACGATCCATGATATCAGAATCTGGGGGTTGCTGATTCCAGTAACTCAGAGGTAATAACGGAAATAATTCTGAAACCAGTTTTCTTCTTTCCTCAGCAAAAGAGCCCCTAAACTACCTTCCTAAACCTACCCCTGCTTTCTACCTATCAGCTTCCTTCAGCTCTATGACTCAACCAGGTTCTTGCATTAGTCTTTGAAACAGAAGCCATACATCTAAAACAACATCCTCTTTTCTGGTTCCTATCCTTCCCTATAATCTCCAATAACCATCCAAGGTTCAGTCTACCATCTTTGAGCCCTATCTTTTCCCACATTAAATCTTCTCTCTATGAAAGTGAAAGCAAATGACTATCAGAATTTCTTCCACTGAGACAAAGCAAAGTGCTATTAAAAACGTTCTGTCTTTGGGGGCAAAATTCATAATTACCAAACAACTGTCAGTGTTTAATATAAATCAAACCAAATCCACTGAGTCAATTTCAACTCCATGACACTTGAAGACAGTATAGAACTGCTCCATAGGGTTTCCAAGGCTGTAAATCTTCATGAAAGCAAACTGCCTCACCTTTCTTCCACAGAGCAGCTGGTGGGTTCAAACTGCCAACCTTTTGCTTAGCAGCTGAATGCCTTAACCACTATGCCACTGAGGTGTTTAATATAATTCTTAAGATGTTTCAAAATGAGGGAAATTGAATCAGTAAGAGAAAGCTCCACGAAGATGAGCCTTAAAAGATATAAAGATATTAGTATGAGGGAACCTAATGGGGGGGTAAAGTGTAACAAGGAAGTAAATGATGAATTACAGTTAAGAGTCAATAAATCAAAAATCATTTATCTGATAAGAGAAGGGTATCTTGAATGTGTGGGAGCCCTGGTTGCACAATGGTTAAAGTGCTCAGCTGCTAACTAAAAGGTTAGTTGTTCAAACCCACCAGCCACTTCACAGGAAAAAGACATGGCAGTTTGTTGCTGGAAAGATTACAGCCTTGGAAACCTTATGGGGCAGTTCTACTCTATCCTATTGGGTTGCTATGAGTCATAACCGACTCAAGGATAATGGGTTTGGGTATCTTAAACGTTTAAATAATTTTTATAACTCAATAATAAAAAGATAAGTAACCCAATGTAAAAATGGGCAAAGGATTTGAATAGACATTTCTCTAAAGAAGATATACAAATGGTCAATAAGCACATGAAAAGATGCTCAACATCATTTGCCATCAGGGAAATGCAAATCAAAACCACACTGAAATAAACTTCACAACTATGAAGGTGGTTGTAATTAAGTCAGACAAGTGCTGGTGAGGATGTTGATAGAAATTGGCATACCATATGTTGCTGATAGAAATGTAAAATGGGTACTTTAGAAAAACAGCACAGATATTCACAGCACCATTATTCATAATAGCCAAAAAGTGGAAACCACCCAAATGTCAGTCTATTAATGAATGTATCCATTAATGTACCATATAAAATGTGGTATTCTCCATACAACTGAATATTATTCAGCAATAAAAAGGAATGAAGTAGTAAGACAGGCTACAATATGAACTTTGAAAACACAGTAAAAGAAACTAGACACAAAAGAGCCCATATTTTATAATCCCATTTAGATGAAATGTTCAGAATAGGCAAATCTATATAGACAGAAAGTAGACTGGTGGTTGCCTAGGGCTGCGGTGTACAAAAAAACCAAACTCACTGCCATGGAGTCAGATCTGACTCATAGCGACCCCTTCTTGGGTTTCCAAGGCGGTATCGCTATGAAAGTAGATTGCCCAATCTTTCTTCCAAGGAGCAGCTGGTGGATTTGAACCATCAGCCTTCTAGTTAGCAGTCAAATGCCTTAGGCGTTAAGCCACCAGAGCTCCTAGGGCTGGGGTTTTGGGGTGGGGGGGATAAGGAAAGAGTGACGCCAATGGTATAAAGTTTCTTTCTGGGGTAATGAAAATGTTCTAAATGCGAATCATGTTGATGGCTGTACAACTCTGTGAACATACTAAAGCCACTGAATCATACACTCATGGAATGAATTTTATGTCAATAAAGATGCTGCTTTGAAAAAGTCTGTAAGTCTTATGGAATGTCTTTTTTTTTAAAAAAAAAAAAACAAAAACATAAATTTCTAACAGAATGGCTGTGATGACTAAAGCGACTAAGGAACGAAGAAGTGGGGAATGTCAATAGTAATTTTGGGGTCTTTTAAGAGTGGTATCACTAACAATAATTTGTATAATTACAAAGGAATGCCAGCCCATTGATTTACTATTTCAATATATTCTAACAAATACAAATATCTGTTATCTCATTCTTAAGTACAAAGTTTTTGTAGAACTGAGACCAAAAATACACATATCGCTTATTACTTATCAGCCTCTCCCTAACCTAGCTAATCATCACAACTATCAGCAGAGCTTCAAGAATAGCTATTCTGGGCTGTACTTGAAGAGGTTCTTATCAGTAACCCTGGGGTACAACATGGAATCTGAATGATAATTTAGCACATTACATACCATTAGTTTATTTTTCTTTGTTTCATTTGTAAGTTTTACCTTCATTAAGATCTACACATTACATACTCTTCTGTTTCCCACATAAAGTCATAAAGTAGACATTAAGTAAATAACTACAAAGAACTTAAAAGCTCATGACACCTAATTTCATTGGAAATAAAACTGGTTACCATACAATCCACGTTTGGGGGAGAAAAAAAAATGTCATTATTTCCTCTTCCTTACACATTCAGAAATCCAGAAATCTACTGGATTTTTTTTTGTTTTCATGGTGCCATATGGGTTTTTACCTAAATGAATGGCTACTGTAGTCAAGTTCACAACTCCAGAAATCTACTGACTCTTATTAATCTCCTTCCCTCTAAAATTTAGACAAAAATAAAAAGCCCTGATGTATTGTACCCTGTCCCACTACCAAGATCCTATCTGACAGCTAGGCTTACCCCAAAACTTTGGTTCTCTACTGGTATCAACTCTTGTACTTTCCCTTGTGCTACTGAGATGTGAAAGCTTCAGTGTATCACCATAGACAAGGCAGATAAACCAAAAGACAATAACCTATACCCTATACCTTTGTGCCTCTTGCTTTTCTTTTTTCTGGAGATGGTTCTCTCATAAATGCTCTCCTCTTGGGCATCCATCTCATCACTGCTGTCAATGATGTCACAGGGCTCACCAGTCCCAGAAAGAGCTTCCTCTGCAGGAACCTGGGAGGCTTCCAAGCCACAAAGAGATTTTACTAGAAGAAAATAAGGAGAGAATGAGATGGCATGCAGTCTTACCCAGAAATACAAACAGCTTAGCCAGGATATCAGCATCCACCACGGAAAGGAAAGGATGAGGTGGGGGAGGTGTGACAAGACTGCTGGAGAAAGCTGAGAATCTATCACCAAGTATAAACACTGGAAGAAATTTCAGCATTTTAAATACAGAAAACTGAAAAATCAACGGGCAAACTGACTCCTTAAAAGTGCCAATTTCAGACATGAAGGAAAAGGAAGTGTGTGCTACTCTATTATAAACACTGCAGGATTAAAAACAAGAGGTGAATTCTATTGTCATTTTCATTAATTCTGAGGAGCAATGTTTGAGACAGCGAAGACCTGGATCCCATCTACCCTGATCCAGGGCTAGAGATGATGGGTTCACAAAAGCACAAGTCTCAGGGGCATCTGAGTAAAAAGCCTGAAAGCACTGGAAAAGGAAAAGAAAAAGAACATTCCAAGGTTATTACACCAAAGAAGCAAACTCCGGATTAAGTGGAGACTATAGGTGAACTACAGGAAAGAGACTACTAGAAGAAAGCAGTGGCAAAAATAAAATATCCCTGCTACAGAAGCTGCTACTCTTGGCTAATCCTTCTACTAAATACGTGTGTAAACATCGAGAGCAAACACGTTTATGGGAAAATGCCCAAAGTATTGCAAGAAAAGCAATGAGTCAGAATCCCAGAAAAATAAAACACCTCGCTCTGCCTTCATGGCCTGAGTCTAAGACACTTGCCGAACCCCTACCTTCCTGCTGAACAGCATTGGCGACGGCTTTCTTGACCCGTCCAGACTTCACGATGGCCGGATCGGAGTTGGCATAATCCGCCACGGTCACTGAAACACAGCACCAACCCTCAAGGAGGAGGCCTTTCCTGTTCAGTGTCTTCCCCACCGAGACCTCCTCACTTCAGATCCCCAGCCCGAGACGCCCTCCCATCATAGGCACCTCGCCGCGGTCCAGCCCCCTCCCTACCGCTAGCCCCCAGTCTTTCAAAAGCTCCTCTTCCCCTTCACCCACCTCTACCGGAGCAGGCGTCGTGGGCCCGGAACTTAAGACGCTTCCCTCTTTTGGGCATGGCTACCGTATCGGAGCGAGGCCGACCTAGCGGGCCAGGACCCCGGGCCATGTCTTAGGCCTGAGAGCCGGCGCCAGGAGCAGCGGACCAGCTCCGCTCCGCTCCGCGGCCATCCCGCACCGGAGACAGCTGCTCTCGCGAGGATTTAGACGAGCGGTATGAGTCGCGTTGCCGGTTGACTCCATTCTTCGGCAACCAATCATCGCCAAAGCCAGAGGTAACGTCATCTTCCGGAGCCCGCGGGCAAGCCGGGTCTGGGGTCCAGGAGAGTTGTTCTGCTGAGTGGAGTCGATTTTCAAGATATTTCTGTGAGATGATTAGTGTCTCAGAAACTACACCTGCGTTGATTACAACTGAGAGTTTACATCCTGGGTCCACGTAAGCACTCAAATGCACGTACGTTGTCATCTTCATACCTGTCTACCGCATCCTAGGCCCTAAGCAGAACGCTAAGGATCTTGACACCCCCTTTTCCTGCCCTGAGGGTCTTACACTCTAATGGGAGAGGCACACTAGTTAACACACATACTCAGTATAATCTGATAATTGTTTTAGAAACGGGAGAACGTGTACCTATCTTGATAGAGAGAATAAAAGGCTTTGCAAAGGAGTTGGCATTTCAGTCGATCGTGAGAAAAAGCGTGCTTGCTTGGAAAGTGCAAAGTTAGTCTAGGACCACATAGTAAAATGACTTTTGTGTTGGAGCTTAAACTGGAGCGTGAAGGACCTATGGTGAGAGGTATTATAGGTGTGAGGTTCAGATAAAGTTGGAAAAATAGAAACCAAATTGTAAAAGGCCTGAAATGACCAAGTACATGGTTTGGGCCTTGTCCTGTAAGTATTGGGAACCACTGAATCTTCTTGAGAAATAGAGACACGATTTTTTAAATATACATATGTTATGTGCCATCAAGTCGGACCCGACTCATAGTGACCCCTCTTTGGGTTTCCGAGGCAGTATCACTATGGAAGTAGATTGCCCCATCTTCCTTCCGAGGAGTGGCTGGTGGGTTTTGAATTGCCAGCCTTCTGGTTAACAGTCAAATGCCTTAGGCACTATGCTAAATATCTATGTGTATATATAGATATGTATATATATCATTATATATACATATCTATATATTTGGGAGCACTACGAGCTCCCAAATATACATATAGATATAGATATATAATGATATAAAACTTTGCAGAGCAAATTGGTTGTTCATTCAACAATCCATACACGTTCAGTTTTGTGGCATTTACTGCAATCCCCACATTGGAACTGTCTTCCCACATCCTTCCTGCACCCACCCCTTCTCTACCTTCTTCCTTCCCATCCCTTCCACCTTCCTAGCTCTATGCCTGGGCAGATGCTGTCCCCTTAGTCTTGTATGCTTGATGGTTCTAATGAATCCATACTCTCCTATTCACCTTACAGGCTTGTCTATCATTTGAGTGACAATTGAATCACAGGGCTTAAGTTCAGTTCCTAGCTTGAAAGGTGTCTGAGGGCCATAATCTTAGGGGTTGATCAGACCAGTAAGCCTGGTGTTTATGATTTTAGTTCCACATTTTCTCCCACTCTGTCCGAGACCTCTTATTGCGATCCTTTTCGCAGTGGTCAGCAGTGGTAGCCAGGCACCATCTAGTTCTTTGTGGCTCACGGTGTGGAGGGGGTTCACATGCTCCATTAGTCATTTGGACTAATTGTTTCCATGCATCTTTGATTTTCTTCACTTTTCTTTTCTCTGAGCAGGGAGAGACCAATAGTTGCACCTTAGATGGCCACTTACAAGTTTTTAAGACCCCAGTCACTACTCACCAGACTAGGATACAGAACATTGTCTTTATGGACTAGGTTATGCCAATTGACTTTAGAAGGCACCATTTTTTGCGCAAAAAGGAAGGAAAAAAAAATTATAAACAGGAGATGGATCAGTTAGGAAGCTGTTGCGTAATAGTCCAGCCATTGGCTGATACAGACCTGATCTAAGGTAGTAGAGTGACAATAGAAAGGATGGAAAGAATATACTAGAAACATGAAGCATAATCAATAAAACTTGGCAGTTGGAAAGAAGGAACAAAGAGTGGAAGGAGTCCAAAAGTTTCCCAGCCAGGGAAATAAAGTGGGGTATCCATGTAGTCACATGGAAATGTTTGAGCAGTTAGAGATGACTGAGTAAAGGTTAAGAGAGTGATTTTCTCTGGGTGTTGCTTATGCTGTGGGAGTAAGTGAGATCTCTAAGACAATTACACGTATTCAATAGTATTGAGTGTTTATTGTGGTACAAAGGATTAAAGCTGTTAGCCAAGCATTCTCATCCACATTTGGAGTGGGAGAAGTGGAAAGGGAAGACAAATCTGTAAGAGAGTCAAAGAAGAAGCAACTCGTATTGGTTATCTATTGCAGCATAACAAAATTGCCCTAAAACTTAGCAGTTGCAAGCAGCTTATTCTTTATAATTTGTATTAAGAATCCAGGAGAACCTTCTATGAAAGGTTTTGGCTCAGGGTCTCTCATGAAGCTGAAATCATAGTTGATTGGGAATTTAGTTTTCTCAAGGCTCAACTGGGGAAGGATTTACTTTCAAACTCATGTAGCTGTAAATAGGCTACAGTTCTTCAGTGGCTATTGGTCAAAGACATCAGTTCCTCACTATGTAGGCCTCTCCCATAGACTGCCTGAGTGTCATGACATGGTAGCTGGTCTTCCCCAGAACAAACTGTCAAGAGAGTGAGAAAGTGACATCCAAGACAGAAATCACAGTCTTCTTATAACCTAGGAGCTCTGGTGCCATAGTGTCTAAGGCATTTGACTGCTAACCAAAAGGCTGGCGGTTCAAACCCACCAGCCACTCCTCGAAAGGAAGGTTGGACAATCTACTTCCACAGTGATACCACCTCAGAAATCCAAGGAGGGGTCGCTATGAGTCGGATCCGACTTGACAGCAGTGTGTTTGTTTGTTTGTTTTTTAATCTTGAAATGCATCCCATAATTTCTACTGTTTTCCTATTCATTAGAAGCAAATCAGTAAATCCAGCTTACACTCAATGAAAGGGGATTACACACAGGTGTGAATATGTGACTGCAAGGATATAGTCATTGGAGGTCATCTTAAAGACTGCCTACAACATTGCCTAAAAAGTTGTCAGGAATGTCAAATACACCACCAAAACTGAGGAAGAGAGATTTAAGAAATAACTAGTTAAGTGATTCAGTCATTATACTGGCCAAAGAAATAGGAAAGGGTTATTTGTGAAGGTTCAGTAGGGAGGTAGGGTAGAAACCAAATTACAGTAGATTTAGGAGTAGGTAGGAAGTGAGGAAGAGAATAGAAAAAAAAAAAAAAACACTGAAGAGAAATCACTTTCCAACCTAATAGCAGAACATTTCCACAAGGATCTAGTACTTAGCCTTTTTATTCCAACATAGGACATTGAATCTTCTTTGTTCTACAGAGCTGTAGAATCCTGAATTCTCAAAATAAGAGGAGGGTTTCTTCAAACTCTTTCAACCTACTTCCATCCCCCAAACAAAATAATACAGGGATTGATATATATGAAAAAATCATCTTTCTTTTGTTTGGATTGAGAGAAAAGGGTCACTGAGAGATGGTTACAGAATTGTGACAGAGCAGGGCCCCGGGCTATGAGTAATAGTTGAGTAAGAAGCTACCAGTATGAGTAAGAAGTTGTTTGGTGTCCTGAGTTATGGTCTCCTTCGTCCCTCCAACTTCTTTGCAGCTCCCAAGCAGTATTAATCCCTGGCTTGAGGAAAATAGTACTTAGATCCATGAATCCAATCTTCTTGATCCTCCAGAACATGCCCCCCCACAAGGTATTTAGAAGGGAACTCCAATTCTTAATCTAATTAGCTAGCACATAGAAGGTCATTGGGAGCAAACCACTTACGGTTTACTAACCTTATATAACAATTACCACCAGAAGTCATACTAATAGGTTTTAATCAATGAGGAATTATAATGAAGCTGAATGTAATTGATTATAACTGTGAACTATTCTAATGTAATTTATCTAAAATTATAACATGAAACAAGGGTATAATGTACTGTTAACCAAAAGAAAATTGTTTCAAATATATTTTCCATGTATACATAATTCATGTTTACAGTCAAGTCCAAAATACAGATGGTAAGCGCTGGGTCTTCTCATTTCACAACATTATCAATAAAAAATTCATGAAACCCACATGCATGTAGCTTTCTGCTCATGTGGCACCTTATTGAAACACTTAGGCCATGACGCTCTGGGGAAAACGAAAGATGCAAGGACATATTGCTATTAGGTGCCATCAAGTCGATTCCGACCCATGGTGACCCTATGTGACAGAGTAGAACTGCTAGCAGTAAGTGATGGTAGTAGTGTCTGTTTTTTAAGACCCTTTCATGGTAAAACATAGAGGTGGCAAATCTGTATTCATTACCAAAATTTTCTTCTTTCTTTTCAGTTGCTGTCAAGGCAATTCCAACTCGTGGTGACCCCATATGTTTCAGAGTAGAACTGTGCTCCATAGGGTTTTCAAGTCTGTGATCTTTTGGAAGCAGATTGCCAGGCCTTTCTTCCAAGGCACCTCTGAATGGGTTCGAAGGTGCAGTTGAACCACGAATCTTTTGGTTAGTAGTCAAGCACTTAGCCATTTATGACATTCACTGGTCCTTCAATTTCCATAGCTTGTTAAATCCTGAAGCCTGGGAACTATAAGTTTGGAGGGAGTAGGAAATTATTCCTTCTGATCTGAGGAAATACATGACAGTGGAATTTCCTATGGAGGCAATGTAGTAGAATAAAGCAGTATAGTAAAGTATGAATTCTAAAGCCAGCCTTGCCTGGGTTCAAAACGTGGCTCTGCCACTTACTATCCATGTGATCTTAGGTGAGTTACTTAACCTTTCTGGGCCACAGTTTCCTTGTCTGTAAATTAAAGATAATAATAATACCTATTTCATATGGTTGTTGGCATAAGCCATTTAATCCATCAAAATCATTTAAAATAGCATCTGGATATAGTAAGCACTCAATAAACATCAGCCATCATTATTATGCTGCTGGTAATAGTTAAAGCTGAGGTGGTTATTGCTGTTATTTAAAGACACCTTAGGTGATTAACTCCTGTTTGCTTTGT